ACCCCTCATATAGACCCTAAAGCCTACAGACAGAAGGCTATGCACCAATGAGGGGGGCCCAAGGTCAACAATCTTGAATCCCGATTAGTCTGGTGGGCCTTAGTCGTGCGAAGCTTTGGCGAGATTATCCAGCATCCTTGATTCGTTTGGGAGGCTTCCACTGTGCGAAGCTGCCTAAAATATTTTTTTTGCTGCCGGGCCCTCTTACCTGAGCTACTGCGACCGGAATTTCAACTAAAACTACGACCCACATTTGTTTAGGGCGGGTCCCGGAGATGGGGTTAGCGCCGTTAATCAGGACCCAACATTACTCCAAACAGCCGCTGAGTCCACAGCCTAAGGCGCATGCCCTACCCCATGCCGAAACCCTACACTCCACACTCTTCAAAAAGGTTGAGTAGAGTGCTAAGGGGTTCTGGGCTTCCAAACGGTAAGTTAGGTTCTATCTCCATATTAATGCGCATTCAGTCAGCGAGCTCTCCTGCCTTCAACAGGGCTGCGAAGGCTTCTACCCTAAACCCTAAACCCTAAACCCAAGATTCAGGCTTTGGGGGATGCAGGCCAAGGTGTGCAAAACCGTAGATGAAGACAACGCCTGGCCTAACGGACGACACCTTCTGTAGGGCTTAAGGTTTAGGATTTGGGGCTTCATTAGGGCTTAGAGTCTAGAGTTAAGGATGTAGGGTTTAGGGTTTACGGGGATGTATGGGGAGATAATAAAGGAAAATCAAATGGAAAAGAAATGGAAAATGAAATGGAAACTAGAGTGTTATAGGTCTAGATAATCCCAGGTTTCACGTTCCATTGACTTTTCCATTTGATTCGCCACAATTGGGTTCCCATAACCCTATAATGTCCATATACGCGCTCTACATACTCAGGGCTTTTGCTCAGCTTCCCTTTCGACCCATGCAGATCCCGCTGTTGGCAAGGCCTGTTGCACTGAAAGCTTCCTTGCAACCACTTACCTGAAGCAACATGAGGTAACCTCGAATCACCTTCCTTTTTAGCTCACTACCCCCTCCCCCCACCCAGTAGCCATTCGAGTTGGCCCAAGAAGGAATTCAGAGCGTGACTCATGCGCCCTTTCAATTTCTGATCCCTGTCCAGGATGTTGATGCCGTGGGTGTAAGACGTCACCGCCTCGGCATACTGCTTTCGCTTCACCGCGCTGTTGCCCTCCTCTGCAAGCAGGTTCCGCGGCTTTGCAGTGGGAGGGAATCGCACGTAGTGGTCAGAGGATGGTATGAAGTGTTGGGCTTGAGGGGTCTGATTGTTCAAGTCTACATGCGTACTACTCGCCAAAAAATCAGGTCGCCATGGGTTGATCTTGCTGAAGGAAAGAACACCAAAATCGCAGCAACGGCTCAATTCTTCAGCCTCCCTGCTGTTGGATTGCAGTATAAATCCGGCTACTTAGTTACTTGGCTGCGGAAGTCGGTTGGAAGCCTTTCGGCCTGATGGACATTGAGTCTCAACAAGGACCATCTTAGCTGTCTTCCAAAGGAACTGCACCAGATATGTCATGCTTGCCAACATGATGCAGGCAAACCGCGGGAACCTGTGCTGAAAGCGGGTGCTTGGACGACTTGATGAGCAGCAGCTGCACTCGTCGAGGTGCCAGCGAGGTGTAAAAAAGTGGGCTGAACACAAGTTCGCCGCTGTGTAGGCCTATGCCTCGAACTGGGGACCCTTGTCTCCTTCATCCTACACGTTCAGACTCGATCCCTGCAAATCTCCTTCGGGAACCGTAAAAACTTGACCACAACTCCTCCTTCTGCTTGGTTGCCGCCTCAATGAGCGGTATGCAGTCGATGATCCTCCGATCAAAACAAAAGGCCCAGCAGCTGACTCTTTGTCAAATGTCGAACATGAGCTATACAAAGCTGAAGAGACATACCCGCATGGAACTCTGTCTTTGTAGCAAAAACCATGTGAAGATCTATGTCATGTGATCAGGGACTGCCACACTGAGATGTCTTTGTTGGAGCTCCCTGGTGTTCTACAGGGAACCAGGGGTGACATCACTGTTCCAGATTGGGCGTGCACGCGGCCAAGGATTTTGAGGCCATGAAGGTGATGAAATGGATCAAGGATATGCATCAGCGTCTTGTCCTTTATAAACGTGACTGGCACGCCCACATGAAGGAAAGTTGAGCAGTACCTACCCTACCAAAACCAGGACCTGGAAAGAACATGCAATCTACTATTCACGGTTTAGGGAAACTGGATAACAAATATGAAATTCGTGACTTTGTGTGGGGCTGCGATAGGGATCGATTCCTCCAATCTGATAACCAATAAGTAATAGTTAATGCCAAACCCTACATCCCAAACTCTACATCCCAAATCCTGAACCTTAAACCCTAAGTCCATAACCCTAAACCCTAAACCGTGTTTAATCTGCCAAGAATCTGGGGCGTTTCATCTTCGGCTGGGGCCATGGTTGGCGTGCCGCGAGATGCACGGGCAGTGGGATGTCTAAGGAACTACAGCTGGGGGTTGTAGGGATGAGGATGAGGTATGGAGTAGGGTGTATGTGGGGCCAAGTGTGTGCGGACTAGGGTCTAGGGATTAAGGTTCTGGATGGTTCTGGGTCTAGCAAAATCTCTCAAAGAAAATTGTGCTTCTCGTTTGGGAAGCCTTGTCATGCGGCCTATTTTCTCAGCGATGTATAAATTACCCTGATTTTGAGGAAAAAAACTCTTGTCGTCTATCAAGGTCTAGGGTAAGGCCTCAGGAAAAGCCTTGAAGATGGTTGGGTTTCGAACAGTAGGGACAAGCCATACTTTCCCATCAAGAACAGGTACTCCTGATCTTCACAGCGCTGACAGACGAACAGCGGGCTGAGGAGGCTGGATTGCAATTTTGCCCTCACAGAAAGCGGAAGACGACGCGACGCCCAACAATTTGCAGTCTTCGAGGAGTCCATATCATCAAGATTGGAATGTGTTCGGGTTCATAGCGAGGCCGTCTGACGGAGGACAGCCTAGAAAACCTCCTAGCAGCACGGGCAACAATAGTATTCTGCTAACAGAAATATCTAGACAGAGAAAGATGCACTACAGTAACCCCAATAACCTTAATAAATGTATGCTGCAATACGAGCAATGATGATCGTCCCATTGTTGAAAGCAAAACCATGGGTTTGCCAATAACCTTATACTCTTGGCCCACATCATAGCCATCCTGAACTGCAAGCATGAATAGCTGAAGTGAGGTGGTGAGAGACCTGAAGTTGTTGGCACATCAAGTTGCCCCTGCCTGCAGTAATTGCTGGCACCAATCCTAAAAGGTCTAAACCCTAAACCCTACAACCTGAACGCTCCCTAAATCCTAAAGTCTGGAGGACTATACTCACCAACCTGAGCTCCTGGCCTCTGTTTGCGGGATCTACCGTGCAGATTACTGTTGGCAACTACAGGGATTCCTTCACATTAACCTAAAATCACTCAATGCGAAGACTTCATCTTACAACCCACTGTAACTATCCATGCGCCTCAATCCTTGCACCCCAGAATCCCAAGCGACAGAGGAGGCAAGCTAAATGGAAATCAGAACATGAAGCTGGACGAACCGCCTGCATGTTCCCAAGACCTCATTTCAAGGGGTTTATACGGGGATTGTATAGGGTTCCTAGTCCAGGTAGGGCTTATTAAGGGGGATACTAATTCTTCCAAATCCTTTCCAAACCCAAAGCCTGCGCCCACTCAAGCTACCGGCATCCCCGGATGGCGGGGTAGGCATAGTAGACGTGCATATCTTGGCCGCGGATGGGCATAGGGACTCCCCTACTTCAGGCAGACGATGCCCATGGGTCTTCTGGTGAGGGAACATATGGGAGTATCATCCGTATATGGTCCTTAAATACCATATTCCCTTGCTCCCTGCTAGTCACCAGTAAGCACTGGTCTTCTGGAGATGCATGTCATTTTTTTGAATCTTGCCTGAACCTTGACGATCCTCCCCAATGCTTTTTTCTGATTGAGTTGAAGGCAAATTGGCAGCAAACCATTCTTCCCAAGAAGTAGGCTTTCCTTTGTAAGGATCGTCAAAATCAAGGAAAGCACTGTGAGCTGAGAAAACCAACAGAATTTTTCTCTGAACTCTGTGGCCCCAAGTGGGCCAAGATTGGGAGGTCGAGGGCATACTGAGGGGCTCATTGTCCAGACTCCCACATACTAGGATCCTATTTTCGAACAAGTCAACGGGACCTCCCGGCCTTACATACAAAACATCAGGAAGCTTGCAGGGTTCACGGTAGCTGCTTGGGTTACCCTACACTTTTCTTCCAGAAGTAGGATGCGAAATTACATACAATTCCAGATACCTGCATTGGTTGAATGTCACGGACCTAAGGTAAAGCCCTTATACCGGTGGGCCTAGAGTGAACTGTACTATCAGGTTCGAGGGGCTCGCGCAGCTAAGCGGTGAACTCGCACATCTCTAAACTCAAGCCCTCTAGGACATCTCAAAAACCCAAACATGGAAACCCGTGAGCAAAGCAGCTGCACGCCTCTTTTTACAAACATTTAAACGGCCGCATATCTCCAGAGGGCCGCGAGGGCCACGAAGACCGCACAAGCTAAAGCATGAGGAGCGATAGGGCTTGGAGCTTTGGGCGGCTTTTGTGAGAGTCAGGAGTTGGGGCTTAAGCGTGTTTGGAACAATTTGGGGCTTATGGCTACGATGGTGCTTCTATGCGTTTCTCCTGCAAAGAGCGGATGTGTTGTGCATTCCTGTCTTGCAATACGTCGAACGACAGCTGAATTGCTGAAAGAGCTAAGCTAGCATATGCCTAAACCCTTCACGTTCTATAAGCCTAGTCCTGTCTCTCCCAAGTTCTCCCTAGTATGAGAGGTGCTGTTGGATCAAACAGATTGTAGGTTTCTTGCAAGATACTACAGCACAAGGGGAATATGATCTTACTCTACATTGGGGACTATACGTAACATGCCTTTTTGAAATACTGCTCAAGGCATCGCTCACGCATCGGCGGCTCAACCAGCACAGCGGCTCCCAATCACCTAGCAAGAGGACATGGGCATTTCCAAGAATGGGGAGTCCCGCTACGCCTAAATCAAGGGGCTCCCAACAACAGACAGGACCCCAATTTTGAAAACCCTCCGCAGAAATTATTCTGAAATTCTCGAAATTCCTGACAAGCGGGCATCTACTGCGGCGGGGCGGGGGCTTTTCGGCTCATGCGGCTTCATTTTAACCCCAAGACAGGATTCTTGAGCATGTCGGATTTTGGGGTAGGATTGGAACCTAAAGAAATACTCTAGGGGCTTCAAGATCGGGAATCTAAGGCCATAATTTTGGTAGTCATTGTGGCTTCTACATTAACCACACACGGATAGAACTTTGGATTCGGGTTGCTAGGGGCTCACGGCTGGTGGGTGCAGTACATGTTGCGAACTGTTCTCGTAGATGAGAAAAACCTTTAGGATGCTCATTTTGCCCAAGGATCAGGGTTTAGGTTCAGGGTTTTAGGG